TCCGCCCGACACGCCCGTTCATGGCCCGCCCGTTCGTATGCGCGGCGTCCCGCTGGCCCGCCCGGCCAGCATGCGGGGGTCCGCCATCCCGACCCGTCCGCGAGGCGCGTCCTCCAGACCCGCTCGTTGGGTCTTGGGGTCCGCCTGCCCGGCTCGCCAGTCTGCTCTCTTGCGCGACAGCCCGCCCTGATGGGTGCACTGCGGGTTTCCGCCGCCCAAAGATGACGGCCCAGGTGTACCCGAGATGGCCCACGAGGGTTCCCATGACCGCCCAAGAGGCCCCTCAGACGGCTACAGAATTGCCCCACGAGATCCCCAAGACAGGTCAGGAGACGTCCTAGACGACGACGAAACCTCCGGCACGCGCCCCAGAGCATCCAATTGTCGGATAGCGCGGAGGCGGAGAGGGGCAGCAGAAGGGGGAATTGCATGCGAATGTGTAGTCAGTGGTGCACACCTCGCCCTAACCCGAGCGCGAACCCGAATCGCGCACTCGGCAACGAAACCGTTGGCGTCGACCCCCATGGTTTCGGTTTCTCCGTTTGCGGTATATCTTGTGCGTTATACGCCAGGCTCCGTGAAATTTAGAGTTCGCGCTCGCGATGGTTCGCAACAGTAGTAGATATCAACAACATACACCGAAAATCTACACCTTTGACTCATATGCATCAAGAACAGACGCCTAGAGCATACACCAATCATATGCACTGAAAGCACGCACCAAGATCAGGCACCAGGAGCAGAGATAAAGAGCAGGCGCCAAAATTCAGAAACCAGGCATCCACAGAGAAGAAATCACGAAAGTACGAACCACACGCATCAGTGACATACTGTAAGAACAGGCAGATGCATACACAGTACTGCGACTCATTGGTGGGTACGTTTCCGAGGTACAGATGTTTCCCACTCATTATGCGGTATTGGCCCTCGCTTCGAATCAGCAGCGCCCAGCGTCTCTTCTTCGTTCTCCTGCCTCCTCCCCCCTCTATCACTATGTTCGGCAGCATTCGTTGCCGCCATAATTATGACCCCCCTCATTATCGGCGCCGCCATCATTACCAGCATCACCAACATCACCAACATCAGAGCGCCATCATCGTCATCGTTGTATCCCTTGTGAAGCTCGGCTTTAGCAGGGTTATCCAGCTGCATATGGCAAGTCCCGCCACCGCGCCTGCTCTTGGTGCCTCTTAGGGGGCCTCTCGGGGCCTCTGGGGGGGCCCCCTGGGGCCTCTTTGGGCGGCAGGCTCGGATTTTCGATTCGTGCTCCCTCTCTTGGGCTCCTTTGGGGACCGTCTTGGGGCCCTCTTGATCCGTCTTGGGGCCCTCTTGGAGGCCTCCTGGGCAATTTTGCTTTGGTCTTGGGGGCCTCTTGGGCCGCCCTGGAGCGTCGGAAAGCCGAAAAAGGCGAGAACGCCCACATGCTTCAAAAACGTAGGGAACATCACTGATTTGCGCCTCTCGGGGCCCTCTTGGGAAGCCATCTTGAGGACATCTTGGGCGTCTTCGAGCGATCGTTCGGCGACTCGGGGCCCTCTTGGACCGCCTTGGGGGTCTAGGCCGTCATGGAACCTTTGGAGAGCCCCAGGGAGGCGCCATGGCCGCCCAGGGACCCCCCCAGGAGTGGGGGTGATGCAGTCGGGTGAGCGTGACCGGCGGGTCCTTGGCATCCTTCCAGGCCTCAACGTGCTGCAGGCACGGTGGCGGGTACTTTCTTGGTGCCGCCTCGCTCTCCTTCGTCTCTCTCCGTTCCCTCGGTGCATTCGTCGTTCCTTGGGTGTGTCGTGCCCCCATGGCTCCATCGGCTATCACTGCCATGCGCTGCAGGTGCAGGGTGCAGGTGTGTCCCTGCGAAATGTTCGTGCCCCTTGGTCGTCTCGGTCGGTCCCTTCCGCTCGTGTCATTCTGGCCCTCGCCTCGCTCGTTTTCTGGCCCTCGTTCGGTCCCCCTTCGTCGCTGCTGCAGCTTGTCTTCAAGGACGTCACGGCTTGACGCTAACCCACGTCCAAATGAAGTTTCTCCATCGGCCCTGTCGCGCTCTTCAGCAAGCATTTCGCCCGAGTATGCTTACCCCGAGTCCGTGGCGGGATATCAAGTTGCGGCGGGCATCCGGGCCCCCGATGTCTCTGGGCGGGCCGCCGTGCCCGTGCGCCCAAAAGGGAGCGGCCCCGCGCCCCCCGCAGGTCGCACCGCGCAACTGGCGGCGGGCCCTGTGGGCTCCAGGTGCTCTTGGGCGGGCCACTGCGCCCATGTGACCGGGAGGGCTTCTTGGGCGGTTCCGCTGCCAGCTCCCAAAGTAAGATGGGGGATCCATCCCTTCTGTGCGTCCTCCATCCCAATGTGTCTTATCCTCTTTGCTCTCGTGTCTATGGACCTCCGAATGCCAAAGTGCCGAGGATCTTTGGTCATCAGCTCCAGCACCCGCATTCGCACGCAGCCATTCGAGGCTCAAGGTCTGGTGTAAACTCGTCCCTCGCCCCCTCTGTCCTCTTCCTGCGTCCCCCATTGCCCGCCCCCCTACTCAAAAGTCATCCTCGGGATTGCTCCAGGGATGCGTTTCGACTAGAATTTGAACACGGATCCATTCCAGTCGCGGCCACAAGAAGTTTGTCGGAGGCAGATAACAAGCGGAAGACATGATGGATCTCGATGTGAGATTTTCTCCTCCCAAATAATTTCAACAGCTCTGAGCAATGCCAAGCACTGCAACGTTTAACATGTTTTGGCATTGTTTGCATAGTTGCGCATTGCTTGGCATTGCTTTGTATTTTTCGGTTTTGGTTGGTGATGTCTTGCGTTGCGTTGTATTGTTTGGTATTGAGTTGAATTGCGTTGCATTGTTTGACATTGCCAGGCATTTCTGTGCATTGTTGCTTGGCATGTCATTGCAGTGTCGCTTGGCGTTGCTTGGAATCGTTGCTTGGAATCGTTGCTTGGAATCGTTGCTTGGCATTGCTTGGAATCGCTGCTTGGCGTTTCTTGGCATGGATTGGCATTGCGTTGCATTGCTTGGCATTGATTGGTGGTGCTTGGCACTGCTCGGAATCGTTGCTTGGAGTCGTTGTTTGGCATTGGTTTGCACTGTCACTTGGCGTTGCTTGGCAGTGATTGGCATAGTTTAGCTTTGCTTGGCCTAGCAATGCGTTGCTTGGCATTGCTTAGCAATGCTTAGCGCTGTTTCCTTGGCATTGCACGGGCAGCCCCGAACCCCGAACCCCGAACAGACCCGAGCTCCAGACCCACCGGTTTTTTCAACAAACAAGCAACAACTTTTTGAGCAAGGCCTGATTAGGGGAGCAATCTGGAGTCTCAAGCCCCCCCTCTGAGAGTCGACGTAGCGCAAAAGTATAACCTCGTGACAGTTCACGACAGGAGCCCTTGACCCCATCGTCCTACGGCATTCCCCAAGCCGGATCAATCTGCGAGGAGCCTGGGGCCCCACGCCGGGCCCTCAAACAACCGGCGTAGCAAAAAATGGCGCGATGCCCGGATCTCAGGGCCTCCAGCCTCCTCAGGGCGCCAGAGACAGAGTCACGGCAAACGGGGCACAGTGAACGCCGATTTCCACGTTTGGCTGTGCCCCCATTCAGGGCATGGCAGACGGGACATGTGGAAAAGCTCAAGCCCCCGTTTAGCTGTGCCCGCGTTTGGGGATCCCTGATCGGACGGGGCTAGGACGAGGATAAATTCGTTCCAGAGCTTTCCGGAGCGCTCTCAGAGCGGTCCGGAACGCTCCGGAACGCTCTGAGAAGGCCGCGGCGCCCGAGACATCCTCAGATCCGCCGGATCTCAGAGATTCTCGATTTTATCCTCACCCGATTTCATCCTCGTCCTGGCTTCGTCGTACCTGACCTCCCCCCTCCGCCCCCCCCCCCCCCCGGGGCGAACATGCCGCCTGGCCGCGCCCCCCCCCGCGGGGCGGCCGCCCTTCCGCGCGCTCTGGTGGCGGCCGTGGCGCTGGCCGCGCTGCCCCGCGCCGACCCGCGCGCCTGGCTGCCGCCCGCCGCGCCCGGCGACGGGCGCCGGGCCGCGTTGCTGCGCGCGGGCTCGGCGGGGCTGCTCGCCGCCGGAGGCGGCTCGCGGGCCGCCAGCGCAGACGAGCCGATGGGCCCTCGGGGCTCAGGACTCCAGACAGTGCACGCGGGGGTCAGTCGGAGCGCAGGAGCATGCAGGATCCTGCGGAGCCAGGGTTGCATTGACCCAGGACCCAGGTTTGGGTGCAGGATCCTGCAGGATTTTGCAGGATCCTGCATCGCCCGACCGGCCTGGGTTTGGATTGACCCGGGTCAGTGCGCCCCCAAGGCCTTCTTGGGGTTCGGGAGGGGTTTGGGGTCGGTTCCGCCTCGTCGTCGTCCTCGTCCTCCTTCTCCTCAGAGGCATGTTGCATGGGGATTCGGTGACGGACGCTGCCATCCCCCTGCACCCTGACGGGCGAGGGGGGCGCTCACTGGTCGGGCCCTCGAAACCCCAGCGGGCGGACCCCAACGGGCGGGCCCAGCGGGCGGGACACGACGGCGGGCGGGCGCGCTTCCAAACGAGCGAACGAGCCGAGCGTAGCGGGCGGGTCTGGGGGGGGCAGAAGGGGTCAAGAGCCGATCGAAAAAATCCGTGGGGATCTCCAGACGTTGATGCTGAATTGTGCAGGTTGATGTTCTTCTACTCGATGTGCAGCCAGAGCTGTCCTTGAGGATGAGCATTCGACGAAAGTGGCCCTTGCACCCCTGGGGATCAGAGACCTAAGGGTACCACAGATGCCACGGTCTGGGTGCCTTGGGGCCTTTCTTCTCCATCCTCATGGCTGCCTCAGAATGCATATATCCTCAGTAGGCAGTGGGTGTGGTGAACATGTGCCTTCTGCGTGTATGCACCACGCCGATTGGTCGGCTTCAGGAATTTGGTGCATAAGCTCTCCAGGTTTCCACGTCGTGGGAAGTTGGGGTGTCTGTATACCTAGCTCCGCGGCCGACAAACGGCGTGGCCTACACATCGAGCGGTCTCAGGCGCTGCGGGCCGCGCTGTGGAGGCTCGGACCAAGAAACGCACCCATGCCGATGCCCGCGTCCTCCGTTTTCGCCTGTTCTGGGTCTCCCTGGCGGGGCCTCGTCGCCGCGGCCAAATTCGCCGCGATGCTTCGGTCAGAACGCGCCCTGGGAGAGGTCTGGGGAGCATCGGCATCGGAATGATTGTGTGATTCCCCCAAAGCAGGCGCCAGAATCCAAGCTAAAGGCGCCGGAGTTCGCGCTGAAGCCGCCGAGCGAGGCTGAGTTGTACAAGAAGCCCTACTACTCCCTGGAGTCCATGCGGGCGCTCGCGCGGCTGGAGGGCAACCGCAGCCTGCTGAGTTTGGAGGAGCAGAACAACATGGCGTTGCTGATGCAGGATGGCAAGAAGCCGGGGCCAGCCTGGGCTCAGAAGACGCCGGAGGAGCTGAGCACTTACCAGACAGACCAGACCAGACCCACCACGCGATCTGGTGGGCTGGGACTCCTCTGGAAACGTGTGGAAGACCCAGGTCCCAGGGGAGTCCGAACCCACGGAGGCGGCAGGCGGATCGGGTCCAGTCCGTCGGGTGACCATGGAGGAGCTGAAGAAGGAGGACGAAGAGTTCCAGGCTAAGCTGGCCGGCATGACCGACAACGAGAGGAGAAAGTTCATCCGGAACAGAAGAGATTGGGAGTTAAGGAACGTGATTCCTGTTGGTGATGGCTCGTACATGAAGATGCCTGGTATGACCCGTTGATGCTCCCGTTGATCGTGGTGTGTCATGTCGAGTTCTTCCGGCACGGAAGAGGAACAACGACAACGATGGAGATCCTTGCTATGTGCCCCTGCATTGCACGTGGGCCTCTATCCAGCCCGTTTCCAAGCTTTTGTGCAGTAGACGTGTTGAGCCGTTTTCTGTATTTTTAATTGCGCCAGCATGGAACAGACTCAGATGACGCACGGGGCGACTCAGTACACTGAGTTGGACCACTTCCGAATGTGTTTTCTTCAAAATATGTCAATACTAATACCTGTCCCAGCCGAACATCCCCCAAGCTTGGATACATTCCTGCCTAAAATGAGCTCGGCCCAGAGCGGCCAGGCGGCTGAGGCACACCCATTGGGTGGCTTGTTTCCGTCGCGGGCCCGCATGATAGACAGCAAAGGGGAGAGAATGACACTGTGCAATAGCATCTTCTCAGCATGGCGCTCTTCAGGGGCGCCGGCATAATTATCCTCCTCCTTGCCCACTCCCCCGTCTCCCCATCGCCCTCCTCCTTTTCCTGCCCCGCCCTCCAGCCCCCAGGAACCAGAACCTACCCGCCTCCCCCAGACTCGTCGGGTCGTTCTGCACGGGTTCACCCGTCCTGGAGGCCGCCGCGACATGCGTCAAGAGCGCCCTGAAATTCAGTGAAAGTCGTGGCCCGCGCCATGAACCTTGAAGAATTCTACAGTCCGCCAAGTTCGTAGATTTGTATGAGGCTTGGGGCATTCCACTTCTCAGCCACGCGCAGAGGGGTACGGGGAGGGGGGAAGGTTTCTTAGAAGTATCCTGCTTCTAAGAAGTTTTCCCCCCTCCCTCTGCCCTCTTGTGCGCGCCGCCAGTTCTCCTCCATGTCCTTCCCACCCGCCAGGGCCATGGAGCCGCAGCCTAGGCGACGCGCCGCCGCGGCCCCGGGGCTGCAGCGCGAGGCGAGGAGAAGCAGGAGCAGCAGGAGCAGTGGCAGGTGCAGCAGCAAGGTGACTATAGATGTGATGGTTTGATCCACGGTGGTGAGGAGGACGCGGATGAGAAGTACATACGCAGGAGTGGCACGAGGAGGAGTAGACGGGGGAGCTTGATCAGGGCGGCGACAGACGGTCGCAGGCGACCTCCTGCAGAAGCGGAGACGAGCGAAGTGGTGTTGCTAGTAAGGAGGTAGTTCACTTGCTCGCCGTCGGCGGTCGACCCATGGCGCGTTGCGCCCCTCGGCTACGCTACAGAAGGGAGAGCTTGATCAGATCAAGGTGGATAATGACGATGAGAATGAGGAGGAGTAAGGAGGAGGAGTAAGGAGAAGGAGGAGGAGGAGGAGGAGGAGGAGGAGTGAGGAGGAGTGAGGAGGAGAAGTGAGGAGGAGTGAGGAGAAGGAGGAGGAGGAGGAGGAGGAGGAGGATATAGGAGGCGGAGCGCAATTGAAAGGAGAATGGTCGGAGCGAAATCGAAAGGAGAAGGATTACGATGAGGAGGACACGATGAAGAAAAAACCGAAGAGGAGAGATTACGATGATTATGCCGATCACGACGGCCATGATTGCGTGTTGATGTCAATGGTGACAACAATGATGGCGATGCTGGCGATGATGACGATTGCGTGAGAATGGTTACAATGGCAATGACAATGGCAAGACTGACGACGACCATGCAACGATGACGACGATGACGATGACGATAATGATGGTGCTGATGATGATGAAGATGATGATGATGACGCTGACGATGACGATGATGATGCTGATGATGATGGTGATGGTGATGGTGATGATGATGATGGTGATGATGGTGGTGATGGTGATGATGATGGTGATGACGATGCCGATGACGATGCCGATGACGACGAATCTGATGATGATACTGATGATGCTGGTGATGATGATGGTGGTGGTGGTGGTGATGATGATGATGATGATGTTGACGATGGTGATGATGATGATGCTGATGATGATGATGATGATGATACTGATGACGATGATGCTGTTAATGATGATGAAGATGGTGATGATGATTGATTGTTGATGGTGATGATGATGATGATGATGATGATGATGATGGTGGTTATGATGATGATGATGATGATGATGATGATGATGATGATGATGTTGATGATGATGATGATTATGATGATGGTGGTGGTGATGATACTGCCGGATGGTGAAGAATATGAATGAGCATAACCATAATAATAATAATCATAACAAGAAGAGGATGCATAGGATGAGGAGGAGGTGTATGAGGATGAGGTGGAGGGGCATGACGGGAGGGCATGAGGAGAGATGGCCAGGACGTAGGGGGAGGTTTGGAGAAGGCAGGAAGAATTGGAGCAGGAAGGGATTGAGGCAGGGAGGCACCACGAGAGTGTGGAATTGGAGAATGAAGGGGAGGACACGTGGGATGAGACCAGAAAGCATGCTGGGGGAGGAGGATGGGGAGGGGCCCTCTCTCCCTCGCCCCCCTCTCCCTTTTTCCCCCCCTCTCTCTCTTTGTTTCTCTCCTTCTACATGTATATATATACACAGATGCCAAGTAGCTAACCTTTCCTTTCTCCTTCAATGAGCTTTGGGGGTTGAATATCACGTTTGATCTGTAGCATATCGTTGGCTCGAGCATGGTGGACCGCGCGGCCCAGGCTGTCGGGCCTTGGTTTAACGCGGCCTTCAAATCGGGCGCTTCTTTCGAGGGGGGTCGCCAACAGGGCATCGACTGCCCCAGCCCCTCGTGTCCAGCCGCGCCCGCGATGCATCGGGCCACTAGCGCCCTGGTGTTGTCACTGGGCCATTAGCCCCAAACTGCCGTCTTGCCGCGGCGGCGCTACCCCGCCAGCAGCGCCTCCCCGCACACCCTCCGCATGGGCTACCGCACGGGAGGGGGACCGCCACGCACAGGGCCTCGCCACGGCGCCACTCGGACGCGTTCACACCTCTGACTGCAAGCACCCCGTCGCCTCTCCTGCAACTCCCCCGGGTTGCGTTTGCGCGTCCTTCGGGGTCTCGGTTCCGCTCTCCTGTTGCGCGCCACATCGCGCGCCATGGATAGTCCACTCGTCCATCGCTCCGACTGCTGCACCCAGCCTGAAGAGCTCGGCGCACCCGCTGGCTGCAGCGGGGCAACGGCACGGTGGATCATCGCGCACATCCAGGCTCTCTCTCTCTCTCTCTCTCTTTCTGTCTGTCTGTCTGTCTGCCTCTCCCTCTGTATATATGTTTGCATATTTATCCACATCTGTCCACGTATACATATGTATATTGGTACAGTACAATTATGTGTTGATGTGTGTGTTCTCTCTCCCTCTCTGGCACACTCGCTCTCACACTGTCTCTCTCTCACTCTCGTTGGACATCAGCGTCAGCTCCGGCCACACTCAGTGGTGGCACAAATCTGCCCAAGCGGTCTAACCCGTCAAAATTGGTTGACCCCAGCAGCAAGCGCACCAAGAAGCGTGAAGAAGCTTGACTGCGCAGGCGAGACGCTCGTCCTCCAGAGCTACGAGACGCATTCGATGAAGTAACCTTGTGGAGGAGTGCCCATCAGAGCAGCAGGTGGCTGCACCCATTACATGTCATACTTCAGTGGCTCTTGGGAGACTGCTCGGGCTCAGGTCAATACGATTCCGTTCCAAGAGCTTCGAGATGAATCATCAGTTTGGGTTTTCGCCCCCAGCACTGATGACATGTGCGCCGTACAAACATCATACAATCGTTGGGTTTCTGCTGCCAGGATTGCCACTGTCTCCACTGAAAAGAGCCCGTTGGAGGAAAGGCTCCAGGTATGGAGTTCTGGTGGACGTCGTCGCCGGTGTTGGTACAGCGCGACGGTGACTCTGAACAAGGGCAGGAGCGCGTCGACACACTAGCGCCAGAATGGTTGGCCAGGCGGAGACATAGCTTCGCGAGGACACATTCGGGTTTAAGGCCCTCGGCACAGAAATCGACGGGTGGTTCGTCCTCACGCTGGCCCTCTCAAACCCGCTGCAGTACGACGAGTTCGACAGTTCTTGCGGGTCTACAGAGCAATGGACGCATCGCGCTTGGGCGCGTGCCCTGAATTCCTCCAGGGCAGCCTTTGTCAAATGAGCCAGGGACTCTTGGGTCTGATCCACAGGTCTGTGAAGGAACCCGCTGATCCTCAGCCTCTGAAGGTCGAGGCTCCATTAGACCCGGAAGGAGCCTCCTCGGACCCCTCAGTCATCACGGAGGCTCGTCTTACGCAGAAGAGGCCCCTTCGGACGGATCCGCAGGCCTCTAGGCAGCAGCTGATTGAAGGCGTGGCCCCGTGATTCCAGCATGCCAGAGACAATCCATGCCCGGAGCTTAGCTTTGAGTGCATCGATGGGTGCGTGTCCAAAATGCGCCCTAAGAAGTCCAAGCGGGGTTGACGTTTTAAGCCCAGTCGACATCCAGAGGCTCCCGCCGGAGGACCGCGTCTGTTTTCCTGAGTTTCCCTCGGTGGTGGCCCGAGGATCGTGGCCCATTCAGCCGGGCGATTGGGGCGTTGCCGACGCGCATGGAGACGCGGCCGAGGGTTCGATCTTGCATGATGGACCAGTGGCCCGAGTCGCAGTCCGAGTTCTGGGACGCTTCCATCAATGGCTCTTCCGAAATTCGGGCGGCGCTGCAGCGTGCCATTATCGACGAGACGTTTCGCACTACGAGGTTTGCTTCAGCGTCTTCCCTTTCTGACTGGGAGAAATTCTACGACAGTGTGAGCATGGCGAAGCTCATTCGAATTGCCATTCAGCAGGGCCCCCCAGCCATCGTTACCTTGTTAGAAGTTCCACTGTGTCTGGCTCCTCTACCATTTCGGAGCTTGTTTTCCCCTACCCCCTACATGCCTACATGTGCGGGATCCTCCCGCGGTGTGAAGCGCGCCAAGTTTTTCCCGGGCCCCATCCTTTTCGGCCGCTCGCGTGGCGTCGGGAGTTCCTCCCGCTCCTCCGGGCGTCCGCGGGACTCTGGACCTCTGTTGACGACGCCGTGGGCAGGTTTGGAGGCACTGCTCGA